CCCCCCCCACAAGCCGTATTAATCATTTTTTTTCTATTCACTGCTGTCATAATATATTCATAATAAATTTTAAAAGGCTTTGTCAAACTCTCGTTTGGCTAGGATCTGTCTGACAGCCTCCCCCCACCCTCTCACAACCTCTATTAATCACCTCTTCTTTTTTTTTTTTCTTCTCACTGCTTTCATGATATATTCATAATAAATTTTGAAAGGCCCTGTCAAACTTTCGTTTAGCTAGGATCTGCCGGCCTTCTCCCCCTTTGCAATTCATATTAATCACACATTGTTTCTACTCATTGCTTACATTTGGTAAAAAGATACTGTATTTCTGTAAGAGCAATTATATTGAGACATAGTTTAATGATTTAATTTGTTGACTTAATTCACTATAACTCTTACATTGATTGTGAATCTCATCAAATATTAAAATTTAGTGTTAATCCAATTGTGACAATGATACCACATCATTAGATTAAAAAGTTAGATCAAATTTTTAGGTCTCAATAGCATTATTTTTTTTTTTTGTAATTTGTAATTAATGTGTTCTTAATTTTCTTTTTTTTATCAATGTTATTTGATCAGACCAACTAATTTTTGAATTATAATATATCATATGTATTCATAATGAACTTATTCACACTTTCAGTTAGGACCCCTCTATGGAGCTCGCCCTGCCACCACCTTGTGGCTTATGCCAACCATATACAAACAGCTATTTTGGTCCACACTATTTTATCATCCATTGTGGATTTCCTTTCTCTAATTTATTATGCAAGTGTGAACATATAGATATCACAATCTCTGCTGCTTGTATATATATTGACTTCTCATAATCATATTCATATATATATCACACCATATGAATCATAATAATACGTGCACTCAAACTTTGTATATCACAGCCCATATGGAAGCCATTTCAGCATCTGCAGAGCAATCAATCGGACAACATAACGGAAAAAAAGAAATGAAAGAGATGGAAGAAATGAAAGTCGGTGTTAAAGGACTTGTAGATTCTGGGGTGTTCAACATACCAAAAGTCTTCGTAAACCCGCTGGAGAAATCATGCAACGCCGACGGTGTTAACCTCCAAGTACCCATCATCGATTTTGCTGGCCTTGAAAGTGTTGGTGATCGACGAACAAAGATCGTGGAAGAAATTCGAAATGCTTCTGAAATTTGAAGATTTTTTCAAATGAATACATATGATACTCCATAATTATATTTATTAGACCTTTTTTTTCTTCAATATTTATTAGACTTGAAATATCGGTAAATCATTGATAAAATCGTATGCAAAACCCGTGTTTAACCGATGTGTGGGTTAGCTGGTCACCAAGTGCATCAAAAATTTAACATTATTAAATCATATTCAGAATCGTATGAAAAAATTATATTTAACTTATGATTGTAATTAACAGGTGATTTACTACATCGAAGATTTACGTAATAAAAAAGAGTCAAAAGACGTGTGGTTGGTTAAAGTGATTCCCATTGAGCGGATAAAATAAAGAACCTTAATAGTATTATTGATGCATTTAGTTCATCAGACACAATAATGATGGGAACGGTGCGACATTGGATCCATGAATTATGTCAAGAGGACAAGACGGGAAAGAGGAGATCAGTAGTGAAAATATCTAACGGTGCTGCTATATATATACCTATATTTATATATACACAATTGGACTTGGACAAAAAAAGCAAATCTGAACTAGAAAAAAGCAACAAAAAAAAAAACCCCAAAATATAAAGTAAACGCTACTTAAAGAATACTTTAAAAAAGAAAAAAGTATTATACCAATAACGTCGTGAAAGAGTAATTGATGTTAATAATTCCTTCGCTCCACCCAAGTCTTGTACAGGTTTGATGTGGAAGAATAGATGAATTGGGTGATAAAATTGAAAGAGACGTTGGCTGAATTGCTATCAGAGGCTTTAGCGCTAAACAGGAACTATTTTTCAGAAAAAGAATACATGACAAGTGGATCATTACTGTGCCATTATTATCCAGCTTGCCCCCAGCCGGTGATGACTCATGGCATTATTCCGCATTCAGACATGCCCTTTCTAACTATTCTTCTCCAGGACAATGTTGGTGGCCTCCAAGTTCATCATCAGAATCAGTGGGTTGATTTGAAACCTTTGCAAGGATCTCTTATAGCCAACATTGGAGATCTAATGCAGGTATATATATGATGTTAGAGTATGTGTGGGTCATATTTGCTGTGTGCATAATAGCAAGGAGGCAGATGCCGGAGTGGAGCCCGCGACGGCATCTACCTTGCGGGATTTATATAAAGGGGACGCTGATTAGTTGGGGGTGCGGGGGCAACGCCCCGCGGTATGGTACAGGGGTATTTTTGTAAATACGTCCGTATTAGGGTTATTTAAATACTTAAGATGTAACCCTACTTTGAATAATGAAAAAGAACGGCCGCTCGCTCTCGTGGATGTAGGCACATTGCCGAACCACGTAAATCTCGGTGTGTTATTTTCTCCTGTTTTCTTAATTGTTTGATTCCTTACTACTCACCATAATTGCTGCACAATCACAACAACTGGTATCAAAGCTAGACTACGATGTCTGGGATTTCCTCTACAAAATTCGACATCATGAAGTTCGACGGAACTGAGAATTTCGGATTATGGCAGAGGAGGGTGAAGGACCTGTTAGTGCAGCAGGGCATGGTGAAGGCATTATACGAAAAACAACCGGCAGGAATGGACGACATGGATTGGAAAGAATTGAAAGCGAAGGCTGTGGCGACTATTAGGCTTTGTCTGACTGATGAAGTGATGTATCACGTCATGGATGAGGAATTATCGGCGGAAGTTTGGTTGAAACTAGAAAGTCGGTATATGTCCAAGTCGTTGACGAACAAGCTCTATCTTAAGTAGAAACTATATGGTCTTAAGATGTCAGAGGGCTCGGATTTGACCCAACACATCAACGTGTTCAATCAGATCATCAGCGATCATCAGCGAGTTGATGTGAAGTTCGAAGACGAAGACAAGGCGCTGATGTTGCTGAATTCCCTACCGGCGTCTCCTACGTACGAGAATTTGGTTACGACTCTGATGTGGGGGAAAGAAACCCTCGAATTGGAGGATGTCACAGGTGCTCTGTTAGGTTTTCATCAGCGGAAGAAAGCCAGTGATGAGGCTTCACAAGGTGAAGGGCTTGTGGTGAAAGGTAACCAGGAACGTGGAAGAAGCAAATCTCGGAATGGATCGGGTAACAATAAAGCCCGGTCCAAGTCGAGGAAGAAGAAGAAGGACGTCTCTGTCTCGTGTTACAAGTGCGGGAAAAAGGGGCACTTTAAACGGGACTGTCCAGAGAAAAAGAAAGGGGATTCAGAGAACAAAGAGGGTGCATCAAAGTCTGCAAACGTAGTGGAAGAAGAAGATTCAGAGAGTGGTGACGGAGATATGCTTTCTGTTTTATCTAGTTCAGATCGTTTAACAGATTCTTGGATTATGGATTCAGCATGTTCCTATCACATGACACCCAACAAAGATTGGTTTGACACCTACAGGTCAGTAAATTCTGGTTCTGTTCTGATGGGTAATGATGCATCTTNAGAAAAAAGTATTATACCAATAACGTCGTGAAAGAGTAATTGATGTTAATAATTCCTTCGCTCCACCCAAGTCTTGTACAGGTTTGATGTGGAAGAATAGATGAATTGGGTGATAAAATTGAAAGAGACGTTGGCTGAATTGCTATCAGAGGCTTTAGCGCTAAACAGGAACTATTTTTCAGAAAAAGAATACATGACAAGTGGATCATTACTGTGCCATTATTATCCAGCTTGCCCCCAGCCGGTGATGACTCATGGCATTATTCCGCATTCAGACATGCCCTTTCTAACTATTCTTCTCCAGGACAATGTTGGTGGCCTCCAAGTTCATCATCAGAATCAGTGGGTTGATTTGAAACCTTTGCAAGGATCTCTTATAGCCAACATTGGAGATCTAATGCAGGTATATATATGATGTTAGAGTATGTGTGGGTCATATTTGCTGTGTGCATAATAGCAAGGAGGCAGATGCCGGAGTGGAGCCCGCGACGGCATCTACCTTGCGGGATTTATATAAAGGGGACGCTGATTAGTTGGGGGTGCGGGGGCAACGCCCCGCGGTATGGTACAGGGGTATTTTTGTAAATACGTCCGTATTAGGGTTATTTAAATACTTAAGATGTAACCCTACTTTGAATAATGAAAAAGAACGGCCGCTCGCTCTCGTGGATGTAGGCACATTGCCGAACCACGTAAATCTCTGTGTGTTATTTTCTCCTGCTTTCTTAATTGTTTGATTCCTTACTATTCACCATAATTGCTGCACGATCACAACAATTGGTATCAGAGCTAGACTACGATGTCTGGGATTTCCTCTACAAAATTCGACATCATGAAGTTCGACGGAACTGGGAATTTCGGATTATGGCAGAGGAGGGTGAAGGACCTGTTAGTGCAGCAGGGCATGGTGAAGGCATTATACGGAAAACAACCGGCAGGAATGGACGACATGGATTGGAAAGAATTGGAAGCGAAGGCTGTGGCGACTATTAGGCTTTGTCTGGCTGATGAAGTGATGTATCACGTCATGGATGAGGAATCACCGGCGGAAGTTTGGTTGAAACTGGAAAGTCGGTATATGTCCAAGTCGTTGACGAACAAGCTCTATCTTAAGCAGAAACTATATGGTCTTAAGATGTCAGAGGGCTCGGATTTGACCCAACACATCAACGTGTTCAATCAGATCATCAGCGATCTGAAGCGAGTTGATGTGAAGTTCGAAGACGAAGACAAGGCGCTGATGTTGCTGAATTCCTTACCGGCGTCTCCTACGTACGAGAATTTGGTTACGACTCTGATGTGGGGGAAAGAAACCCTCGAATTGGAGGATGTCACAGGTGCTCTGTTAGGTTTTCATCAGCGGAAGAAAGCCAGTGATGAGGCTTCACAAGGTGAAGGGCTTGTGGTGAAAGGTAACCAGGAACGTGGAAGAAGCAAATCTCGGAATGGATCGGGTAACAATAAAGCCCGGTCCAAGTCGAGGAAGAAGAAGAAGGACGTCTCTGTCTCGTGTTACAAGTGCGGGAAAAAGGGGCACTTTAAACGGGACTGTCCAGAGAAAAAGAAAGGGGATTCAGAGAACAAAGAGGGTGCATCAAAGTCTGCAAACGTAGTGGAAGAAGAAGATTCAGAGAGTGGTGACGGAGATATGCTTTCTGTTTTATCTAGTTCAGATCGTTTAACAGATTCTTGGATTATGGATTCAGCATGTTCCTATCACATGACACCCAACAAAGATTGGTTTGACACCTACAGGTCAGTAAATTCTGGTTCTGTTCTGATGGGTAATGATGCATCTTGCAAAGTTGTTGGAATAGGAAATATTAGAATTAAGATGTTTGATGGTATGGTTAGAACGTTGTGTGATGTTAGACATGTACCGGATCTAAGGAAGAATTTGATTTCATTGGGCACTTTGGATTGTAATGGTTATAGTTACAAATCTATAAGTGGAGTAATGAAAGTAAGTAAAGGCATGCTGACAGTGATGAAGGGACAGAAAGTAGTAGGAAACATTTACAGACTGCTGGGTACTACAATTGTAGGTGGAGTTGCTGCTGTAGAGTCTGAATCAGATAATACAGTCTTGTGGCATATGCGGCTGGGTCATATGAGTGAGCGTGGGATGATAGAGCTTCATAAGAAAAATCTATTGAAGGGTGTCAAGACATGCAAGCTCAATTTTTGCAAATATTGTGTTCTTGGAAAACAGAATAGGGTGCAGTTCAAGACAGCCACACACAAGACAGAGGGGGTTCTCGACTATGTCCATACAGATGTTTGGGGACCAGTTAGCGTACTATCACGGGGAGGATACATGTATTTTGTGAGTTTCATTGATGATTACTCACGAAAGGTCTGGGTGTACTTCATGCGGCACAAGTCAGAAGCGTTTGCCAAGTTCAAGCTGTGGAAAGCTGAAGTAGAGAACCAGACAGGGAGGAAGATTAAATGCCTCAGGTCAGATAATGGTACTGAGTACACAGATTCAAAGTTCCAGGAGTTGTGTGAGCAGCATGGGATCAAGAGACACTTCACAGTCCGCAAGACACCACAACAAAATGGTGTAGCGGAAAGGATGAACAGAACGATAGCCGAG